ACAGTAACAGTAATATATATACAAAGAAGAAAATGCCGAATATTATCAACGATATATGAATTTTTATACGTATAAATATTTGGCAGCTTGTTAAAAAAACATGATATATATCCTTTCTTGTATATTAAGAAATATATCAAAGCAAAATAATAAAAAGTACTTTATAATATCTAGAAAAGAAGAAATTTGGATAATTCACGATTAAATTTGTATTTAAAAAATATTATCAAAGAATATTTGTTATATGTTATTGTTTAATTAATAACTGTAAAAATATTATTAATAAATAATTATCGCTATCATATTTCTCATTTAAAATTAAATTCAAATTCATAATTTTTAAGTTAAAAAAATCATGTCATCATTTATCTAATTTATACAATAAATAATATTAATTTTTTTAAAAATAATATGACTTGTATAACTAAATACAAATAAAAATAGAACATATTATAAACTTAGCTATTCTTTAAAAAAGAAAAAGAAACTAAAAAAAATAATCTATTTTTAATAGTTTCTGTCTTTAAAAAAAATCTTTTGAATAATTATTTATTTTGCTTCTAAATGAGAAAAATAAGTAACGTGCACTTTGTTTTATAATTTATCTTACAAAATTATTATGATATGGTTGAACTTTAAACATTTAAATTGACTTTAAACATTATTACTAAATTGAATATTCTAATGGTTTTTTTTTGTTTTTTATAAAATGTTATTAAAATTATGAAAATTATGATAGGGAATTAATAAAAGATAACAATTTAAAATTCAATTATTTTTGCTTTTAAAATTGATAAGAATAATATAGATTGCAAAAGCTAATAAAACAAAATTGTCTTCGTATAAAAGTATTTTAAATATGCTAAATATCTTGGAATGTTCATCAAATATAATTCCAAAAAAAAATTCAATCGACTCGACCATAAGATGGAACTATATTTTTTTCTATCCAAAAATCGCAATTAGGATAGTCACGTTCGGGAAGCGTATCTTGACCAACAATTAAAACTCGTTTCACACCATTAGAATTTGTCTGAGCTACTTCACCGTGCCAAACATAGTGATTAAAAAGCTGTTGCATAGCAGATACGTGTCTTTTTTCAGCAGGAGTACGAGCAGCATACGATCCTAGTATTGCTGCAGCATCACTATCGGGATCTGCAAACTGACCTCGCGGTTGCGTTGCTACATAGAATGGAATATTGGTCTTCATTCTAGCGACTGTTAGCAATGGACATATAACACGAATGTCCGAAATCATGCTTAATAAACCTCTCAATGTTGCATTATAACGTCTGAAAAAAAATTAATTTTTATAAATTTTGATTTCTATAATTTTAATTTTAATTAATAACGAAATTTTTTAACAGAAATATAAATGGAAGTCGAAATAAAAATATTTTTTACAGATATAATGAATTTAATAAAAGAATCTAACCTGAGAGCTTCATCTGCTAAACCTGTTGTGCCCAATAAAGATTCTTTTACAATTTTCTCTACTTGTGTGGAATTGAGAGTAATATTAGAAATAAGATATTTAAGAGGAGCTCCAGCATGAGCAGTGGTGCCCATTACTATTTTCACTGAAAATTCATCTCTTGCCCAAATTTGACCTACAGGTTCTTGAAGAATAGCACGATCAAGTACAAGCCATTCGTGTCTTCTATCTCTAATTGTTGCTTCTCTTGCTTCAGGTAAACCAATGTTTCCTAAATGCCAAGTCTCAGGAACTGAATCCATGATCTCTTCCGCACTTTTGCTTCGTAAACAGGCGGCATCATTACATCTTGTAGAATTTAAAAATAGCTCATTAAGTGTTTCTGAAAATTCCAATTCTCTTCCAGGAAATATTGCACTACCGCTAGAGATCCATACTCTCTGAAAAAGATCTCTTGTTCGTCGAATACCAACTAGAGTTGTTACAAGAGTTGCTCCAGCTCGATGACCCCATAAAGTTACAGATGATTTATTTCCGCCAAAATTTTCGATATTAAGATGAACCCATTGAAGAGCTGCTATGATATCAGATAAACCATAATTTCCGGATGTGAGAGGATGTGATGTTCTTGAAAGTGGCTCTGTGGCTAAGAACCCAAAAATGCCCAATCTGAAATATGAAAAAAAAATCATTATAAATTATAGTATATATATATATATATATATATATAATA